CTTTAACCTACTTTTCAAAATAAGCCTAATACTCCGTCCACACATTTTTTTTCTCTCCATAAACTCCCTCAAATGGTGTGGCAAGAAAAAGGCAAATGAACGACCCACGTTCCTGCACTCCTTTCTTCTCTCAAAACCTTCTAACTAACCTTACCACGTCATTCAACAAAATTTAGGGGCACTTATTAATCAGTCCTATTAACTAGACTTATTTATCTACAGGTCCTAACTGATAAATTTATCACTACAAAAATAATATACTGATAAATTTATCACTATAAAATTATTCATAAAAATAAGAGACTGGTAAATTTATCACTTGATAAATCTATCAATAAGACTTAATGGGTAATAAGTCTCAAAAGTAGGACCTACTGGTAATTTTCACAAAAAATTATGGGTGAGAAATTATGGCTCAATTTGAGAATTTGGCTAAAAGTTAAAAGCTAGCTTTTAACCTATTTTTGATCACATCATCACTCTACTTTTTTACATACTTTTTTCAATGAAAAGTCAAAAAAAATAAAAAAATCAACTTCTCAAAATAACCCTATGTAAATGTAACATTATTGTCTTTAAAATTTGAAAAATTCTATTTCCATACGCTACTTCCTCTCTTTTCACACATTTAATGATTTTTTATTTTTATTTTTTTTTACATCTTGTCTTAAAATTAAATTACCAAGATATCATTTTTTCAAAACCTTAACTCTATCTCTCTCAAACCATCTTGTGAGTCTGTGATCCATCTTATACTTTATTATTATTATTATTATTTTATTTTTCTCATTCAATCTCTATTTCTTCTTTTTTGACTTTGTGTCTCATCATTTCTATTTGGCAAACATATTTTGGTAACAACCTTTTCATTTTCTATATACTCCATGACGTATTTCACTCTAAGAATTATTTAAACTGTTGCAAAAAATTTTCCTTTCATTGCGTTGCCAATTTTTCATTTTTAATTTAATTTAGTTTTAATCTTTCACCTCCAATCACTATTTTGTCCCTACTAGTCATATCCCTTAATACAATTGAATCTTCTTTTCAAAACCCAGATGATGCCATAACTGAATATTTGACATTTGATAATCCCAATTCTTGCTATGAGAAGCTTGAGAACTTGCTTACTCATGGTCTCGTTGATGGGCAATTAGAACTAAAAGAAGAAAAATCAAAGTAACAGTTTTGATTCTTGAATAGCTATGCAGATTTCAATTTGTTTCAACTGTAAGAGGTATTGCCAATTTGCATAGATGTAACAAAAAAAATATTTATGTCGTCCATAGATGATGAAACTCAATACTAATTACCTTGAAAAAATAAAAACAATGGTGGCTTGTTAGGGTTAGGGTTTGGAGGATGAAGATGGTAAATGTATTTTTGGTATGGAAAAATGTGTATTCAGTGAAAATTGATAATTTAAATTTATTTAATGCGTGAATTAAGAAAAGATATAGAAAGAGAGAAAGTAGTGTGTAAAAATAGAATTTTCCTTAAAATTCCTATATGTTTTGTGACTTTTCTCTTCAATCTACTATTTATGTTGATCAGATATTAGATACATTGCTAATGTAATATGTCGGACTCATGAAATAACTTCTCGTTTATCATTCTCAAACAAACTTCTTGATAATAATATCTAATGTTTCTCATTAAAATAATAAAAAATTATCATTTCTAAAATAAAAATACATTGAAATAAAAAAAATGTAATGGAAATTATTTTGAAGTCTTAACTTTTTATTTTATTTATTTTTTGCTTTTTAAATGGACTATTATTAGTATGACTTTGGGTACAATTATTAAAAAAAAAAAATATTCACTCCCTTAAATTGTTTCACTTGTAACACTTTGCCTCCTATATTATTAATTAAAACATTGGAATTGCTTAAAACTATGCTTTACTTTAAATCATTGACTGAATTAATATATATATATATATATATACATTGTAGAATATTGCACCTATTAGTTATATCCGAGACGTAAACTTTGCCGCAATTAATAATATTGAAAAATGATATATAAGTTTACTTGCTAAACAAGATTAAAGGTTGATAATTAAAAGATAAATGTGTGAGGGAGAGAGAGATGGCATAGATATTTTAATAGAATGTCACATCATTAGATTTAGAAAGTGAGTCTAATTTTTTGATATAAATAAAAATAAGAAAAATAATAAGCAAACCAACATTCTAGACTTAATGATGTGTAAGTAATATGATTGGTTGATAATTAGAGAATATATGAGAGAATATTTTTTTTAATATCTTAATTAATTATCACATCATTAAGCTTGAAAGTTGAGTCTAATTTTTAATCTTGAGTAGCGATGTTTTAAAAATAATTGGTTACATTTTGTTATATAACCTCTAAAAATTGAGAAGTTATTGGTTGGTTTAGAAATAACGTCACGCTTTATATGTATTGTGATCCGTAAAAATTGTGCGTCTCACGATTTCAGATTTTATATTAGATGATTGAAAAATATTAAAGGATATAAAAATTTGTAATTAACTTGAGACATGGTTATATGATATCCTAAAACTAACTAATAATTTTTTTTTTTCTAAAAACTTGCCTTATTATTTTTATTATTATAAATAAAAAAAACTCAGCTTGTTTGGTTGTAGTTTTTAGAAAATTTTACTTTTTTATTTTTCATATTTTAATGTTTTCAATAAATTTTTTTAATATTTTAAGTAATTTTATTTTTAATTTTTAGACACACATAATATAAATACATTTAAAAAGTATAATATTTATGAAAAAAATCTTAAAAAAATTATACTAAATACCAAAAAATAAAAAAATATAAAAATTCAGTACAATTTTTGTATTTTTGTATATTTATTAATTTTTAAAATGTTATTTTACAAATATTTTACTATTTAGATGCATCTAAATAAGGTGCATTTAAAAAGATAAAAAAATTACTTAAAATTTTAAAAATATTGACTAAAAATAAAAAAAAATACTAAAAATAAAGAATTCAATTTTAAAGAAATTAAATTTAAAAAATTGAAACCAACGCAATGATTAATTCCTTCAATTAATTCCGTGTGCTGATGTGATATTTTGTAAAGATCAACTTGCTAATGATTAACTAACTTTAATAATTTAGGTACCATACTAATAATATTCAGTTTTATTTTTCAGAAAGTTAATTATATATTTATTATTTTTGTTATTATACCTATTAGTTGAATAATATTTTTGTTACTATTGAACAATTGAAATGGTTGAATTTCAATGTGATTTTCACATTCACATTGCACTGTAAATATTTATATTGTTATGATTTTTTTTAAAATTAATTATATATTAATTATAAATTGTGAACATTCATAATGAATTAAATAAAATAAAGCACTTACAAAAAATATTTATAAAAAATTAACCCCAAAAAATTAGTACTTTCAATTAACTTCGTGCGCCGATGTGATATTTTGTAAAGATTAAACTTGCTAATGATTAACTAACTTTAATAATTTAGGTATCATACTAAAAATAATCAGTTTATCAATTTATTGATTTATTTAAATTACATCATTATCTTATTTTTTTACATGTCATTTTATAATAAATAAAATTTTAAAAATAAATCATACTCAAAATAACATTTAAAGGTATAATTATTTAAATTAATAATTTAGGACATAAATTAAGACATTGTTTGGAGTTTGTCTATTTAATATATTTTTTTGACTTTTTATGAAAAATAAAAAAAAATAATGTAATTCAAATAAATATACCTATTAAATAAGTGAACTTATTTAGATTATCCCCAAACTACTTCTAAAAACAAGAATAATGTTTTTGTTTGGAAAGTTGACTATTTTAATTTAGCTAAAATAGTTATGTTTGAGAAGTTAGTTAGTTTTTTTAGGATAAATTACAAATACACCATTGAGATTTGCTTAAAATATAAATTGCTTCATGTAATTTGAAAAATTATAAATACTCCATTGTTAGAATTTTTTATTTAATAGAATTAACTAAAAAAATAAAATTCATAATTGCTCTCCTATATAATAATAAAATTACCTAAATTATCAATTGAAACATATTGCTAATATCATTAAAAACTATTAATTGGCTTGATGATTTATTAATAAAAGGGGGATTTTGTTATGAAATTCGAAACCTTAGGGGATGAAATGTAATTTTCAAAACCATAAGGGCGATTTGTATTTTAATTAAACTCCAAAGGGTATATTTGTAATTTATCAATTTTTTTATAGGAGTAGTTGATTTGATGATTATAAAAATAAAATAAAATAATTATAAATTTAATCTGATTTTTTATTGAATAAATTATTTTAATTCATTTACTATATTTTAATAAATTATTTTAACCCAAACTACTTCTAAAAACAAGAATACTGGTTTTGTTTGGAAAGTTGTTTATTTTAGTTAATTATTTAATTTTTTTGATTATTTTAGACCTCGTTTGACAAGTGATTTTTTTAGTAAAAAAGTTAAAAAGTCATTAAAAAAATTAAAAATTTAACAATTTATATTAAAAAATCAAAGATTTCATTTTCTCTTCACTTTTTACACATATTTTTGTAAAAAATCAAAAAGTTATCCTAACCATATTTTAACTAAAAAGTTATTAAAAAATCTATTTCCACACAATGCCTTAACCTAGCTTAAAATAGTTGTGTTTGAGAAATTAGTTAATTTTTCTATAAGAATAATTAATTTGATAATTATAAAAAAAAATTATAAATTTAGTATAACATTTTATTTTATTAATTATTTTAATACATCTACTATATTTTAATGAATTATTCTAACCTAATCATCGTCATAATTATTTGACAAGGGAGCACGTCGATCAGACTTTTCTATCCACGTGTCACAATCATACTTGTCTCTTCTCGAAACTTGTTCGACCTTTAACACTGATCATGGTATATAAACCCCTCCTCCGCGTCTACCCAACCCACATCATTGTTGTTTTGCCATTTGCCTGTGTTTTAAAATTTCTCCTTCGTTGCGAAGTTTGCATTCCTTTGTGGAATGCGCTTCTGCTTTTAGTTTGATTTCTATCTTCTCTCTGTCTCTCTATTCGTTGATCGGAGCTCGGGAAAAGATTTTCCGGCGAGGCGGCTACAGATACAGAGGTGAGTTTTGATAAGTTTATTTCACTTTGTTCATGTTGTGATCGAGCTATGGAGATTTTGAAATTCAGAGGGTTTTTTCCCGCTGAATTTTTACGGCGAATTTTCGTTGAATTTCTACCTGAGTTGGCTTTTTTTTTTTTTTTTTGGTTGTTGTGATTCGTCGAAATTGTACTTTTAAATTTTTTTTATTTATTTATCATGATTTCTACGGAGGAATTTGATTCAAGAGGTGACTCCAGAGTTCTGTATTTTCTTCATAGTGAAGATATTTGAATTTTGGTGTAGATTTTCTTAAATTTGGTATAGTTTGAAGTTCTGTTCGACAATTTTGAGCTGTTTGCTCTGAAATTCTCGCATTCGAAGGAATTTGATTCAAGAGGTGACTGTAGAGTTCTGTGTTTTCTTCATGGCGGAGATAATTGAATTTTGGTGTAGATTTTCATTAGTTTGGTAGATTTTGAAGTTCTGTTTGACGGTTATGTCCTTCGATTTCTTTCAAATTTACGCTGTTTGCTCAGAAATTCTCACAGATCGCAACAATCTCCACCATGCAATTTCCAAATTTGATCATCATCGCGGTGAATTACTCCTATATTAACCCCCCTCTTTCTCGGTTTCTCTCTCTAGAACTCTTTGTCGCTCCTCAGTTGATACATGAGAAAATTCTCTCAAAATCGCAGTGAATTTCATTGTTCATTCACGCATATATGAATTTTATTTTATTTTTATTCAAAAGCTAATTGGCCTTTTGCAGTCGTAATCGTGAATATTTTCATGAATCTCGTCATTTTTTAACTTTTGCATATTTTTTCCGTGCATCTTCTCTTGCCTGTCACGGCGGGCGGACGCTGTTTCCTCGAAAAGACTCTGTTTTCCAATTAGTCGGTTTCAATGACGCATAGCTTTTGCAAAGTTTAATGGTCTAAAGCTGAAACAGAGTACTGTGGTCCCCGGCTATGCTTTGCTTTATGGGTTGGCATCATGGCATGATCCAGGCGTGGTTGTCCAATTGACTACTTTAGTTAATTTTTTATTTTTAATGTAATAATTTATAGTTTTTTTTTTTCTATTTACTCAAAAATTAATTTTATTTTAAATTAGAAAAAAAATAATATGATATGAAAAATATATTATTATATTAAGGTATAAGTTTATGTTGGAATTATGAGTCGTATATAATAAAATATTTTTATGTCACATGTTTTAATGTCTCATTTTCTGTCTAATTTTAAACATAAGTTAGTTTTTGGGCGGTTTGTTACAACTTTTAGGAGGCCATTATAATTTATTTTAATTTAAAAATCTATATCAGACTATTTGATATAACTTCTGATTATAGCTTATTAGAGAGAAATAATTTAAATAAACTGAAAAAAACTAATTATTTAGAAGACATGGAATGTGTGCTTTTGGTTTTTATTTTCTGATTATTAGATTTTAGCTTAAAAAAACTCCACCAAACATGGCGTTTGGAATAAATTGAAAAAAAATTAAAACATGAAAGACTTTAGTGAAAAAAAGACTTCATGGGTAAAGTAAAAAAAATAGCTAAACATAAAATGAACAAAGTATAATTTATTCAATATATTTTGAATGAATTATATATAATAAAATATTTTTATGTTACGTGTAGTTAGTGTCTCATTTTCTATTTAATTTTGGACATAAATTAAAAAAAAAAAAATTAAAGGGTAATTTACCCTATATTTTTTGGTTTTGTTTTTTATTTTCTAATTTTAAAAAATTTTCCCCAACAGGTTGGGTTGGGCTTCAACACCTAGCCCAATGCCAGACCAAACCTTATTGGGGTTGAGCCAGTCTGCTTGGGCTTGGGATTGGGTCTTGGACCGATAGAACGAGAGAAAGTCACAAAAACTAACCAAATAATTTTTTCAGTATGTCTGTGGTGTTTTTTTTATGTTAATTTTGTTCAAATATAGGAATGGTTTGTTCAAATATAGGAATGGTTTCAGATGTTTTAAATAAATGTATTTTTTAAATTTTTATAAAAAAAAAATATCTAAAAAAGTAGAGAAAATGGATAAAAAAGTAGAGGAAAAATATTTATAAATGTTAATTGCTATGACTCAAATAAGTAAAACACTTTTTTTTAGTGCAGGCGAAACACCTGCATATTCTTGTTTCGTTTGTATTGGTGCTGTTTGGTGTAACTGTTAAAACAGATTATAAATTATAGCTTAGGCCTAGTTTGGGAAGACTAAATAAGTGCACTTTTTGATTTTTTATGAAATATGGGTTGGGTTTGGGTTGGGTTTGAAGTGATGTATTAGAGAGGTGATGTGACTTAAATAAGATGATGTGGCTTAAATAGGATAGTGACTTTTTGACTTTTTGTCTTTTTTCAATCATGTCAAACTTGGCCTTAATAGATTATAGATTAAGACTTTAATTAAAAGTTGTTAATCTGTTTGGTATAGCTGTTGGATTATAGATTTATGTTGTTGAGTAGTGTTTGTTAAATAAGCTGCGAAGTAGCCTTTTCAATTAATTTTTATTTTTTATTATTCACTATTTGTTTACATTTTTCATAAAAAATAATAATAATATTTAATAGTCCATTTGAGTCTTTTTCTATTTTTAAAAAAATAAAAAATAAAAAAATCTAAGAGTATAACCGTGAATTAACATGTCCACAGCAGAAATTGATAATCAGAAGCAATGGGTGAGCAGCTTCTCAGAATCAACTTTTTTGATTTAAAATAAATTGTTAAAATCAGAAATTATTTGAAATAAGTTTAACCAAACAGTCCAAAATAACTTTTTAAAAACTAGAAGCTTAAAAAAGCTACACCAAACACCCCTATTGTATATCTGTCGGTGAAGTTACCTTTGGTGTCTTTATTTCCAATTCTTTTGTTAACTAAGCTCTGATTTTGCTTGTAATTCTGTTCAGATTTCAACCCCTTTTTTTTATTTTTTTATTTTTTTTTTAATTTATTAATTTTCCAGTTCCTAATTTGGGTTAATTATTTCCTTTGTTGATGTAGTTTATTGTGTAGCTAGCAAGAAGTAGGGTGCTGAAAGATGACGGTTACTCCTAATATCTCGGTCAGTGATGGAAACCTTGTGGTTCAGGGGAAGACCATACTGAAGGGTGTGCCCGAAAACATTGTTTTGACTCCGGGACCAGGCGTGGGCCTTGTAGCTGGTGCTTTCATTGGTGCCACTGCTGATCACAGCAAAAGCCTCCATGTCTTCCCCGTGGGCGTCTTAGAGTAAGCAATTAACTTCATTCTAAAGTTTGTTATATCTTGTGAAATTAATTTCAATTTTTTATGTTATCATGTGAAAACTCCATCTCACATTAAATTTGAATATACTTGAGTTTCTTGATTTAACACATAAATTGAATGCATTCACAACTCAAAAGTTAAAAAATGAGAATTAAGCTCCAAAAAAAATATCCTTCAACCCTAGGCAAGTAGAATGATGTACTTTCGGCTTGTTTAGCAATGCAATCTAATATGTTGTTATTATGAAACTAGTATTTGATGAGGGTCGTTGTAGAGAACCCGACAATTTGATGCATATGTTTTGTACTCTTTGAAAAATATTACAAAAAATATTAGAGAGGCCAATTATTAAAGTTTTGCATATCAAATCAAGTTCTTTTTAAGAATAATGCATTAAGTAAACTCTATCAAATGATAAGTCTTGATTTTTGAAAATAAAATAATAAACAAAAATATGATAGGCATACTTTGCCATTACATATAAGTATGCTTGTTATGTACCTGAGTAAGGATGTTATCATGGTTTTGAAAACCGGATCGTACCGGCTGGTTCGACCAGTTGAACCGTCGACTGGTCGGGGTTCCGGTCTGGATATATCCGGGAAAACTAGCAGTTGAACCGGCCTACCTGGAGACGGTTTGCCAGGTTGTTGCCATTGAAAATTTTGATTTTTTTTTTTGATTTATGCTAACTTTTTTTTTTGATTCATTCATTCATTCTTTCTTTCTTTCTTTCTTTCTTATAATATATATATATATATATATGAATATATGAATATAAGAAAATTTTAATTGGAAACTCTTTTGGAAGAGTCTCCTCTTTGAGCAAATTTTAATTGGAAACTTTCTTTCAAGGGTCTCCTATTGTTAGGAATCCTATTAAGAGATTGAAATTATTGTGAAAATCTTTACCTATTTATAAGAAATTTTTTTTTTCAAAAAAACTTAAGAAATTCATGTGAGATTCAATCAAATGTATTGGAGGGAGACTTGAAATTTTGATATCCTCCAAAATTTTTTCTCTTCTTTTAATCAAATTATTTGAATTAAAATCATATGAAGGGAATATTGAATATTTGATTTACTCTTCCAAAATTAAAATTAATAATATTTTAAAATATATTATTATATTTTTCAGTAAAAAAAAATTATGCGAAATATTTAAGATAATTTAATATTTTTAATTTATAATTTTATTACTTATATTTTTATTTAAATATAATTTTAATATATTTATTATTTCACAGTTCGATTCCGGTTTAATTCAAAGGTTGAACTGGTGATCTGTCCACCTGATCCTTTTTCCGGTTCACTCACCAATCCGGTGTTTAAAACATTGGATGTTACATATGAAAAAATGTTCCAATAGAATATTCTGCTTTGTGTAAAGTCAGTTGTCCGAGTGGTGCTATACTTGTACTCCCAAATCTTTGTAACAGAAACAAATAAAATGCTACACTAAATAAACCCGCAAGTGTTGCATTTTTTCATAATATGCACTTTGTATGTTACTTGTGGCTCTGCACAATTGTATTTCTTGACTCGTAGTAGTAGCGTGCAATTTTAGCTAAATGAGGGCTGAATTACTTGCATCAACTACCACCCACCCACCCACATACCCACACACAGCACAAATAATTCATCATTTGATAGGTTGCACGTCATATTAAGTGCACAAAAATTAGTCTGAATGGGTGAGCTTAAGCCATTTGAGTTTTGGACTTTTCCCCCCTTCTCTTTTATCTTCTATTTGACATTTGAGGAGCTTTCTTATGTCAGTTTTCCAATTTTGAAATTAAACGGTCAGCAGGATTAAGTTTAAGTGAACTTATCAGATGATGAGCACTCATCTTTTTCTGTCAATTTTGTTGCATTGAAATTGAGAAATTGTATCTCTTGCTGATGGATACTGATGATTAACAAACAATTAGAGGAGATAAATTCAGATAATACTAGTCTTATTAATATAAATGACAGTATTTTGGTACTTTGGAAACAAAGGTAGACTTATTTTTTGTTGTTGACTGCTGGTTGTTGAGTTATTATAAGCGAAAGATTTTAAAATTACTCTCTCTGTGACAGGGATCTCCGATTCATGTGTTGTTTTCGTTTCAAGCTATGGTGGATGACTCAGAGAATGGGGACATGTGGGAAGGACATTCCTCTTGAGACACAAATCTTGCTCGTGGAGAGTAAAGACACTGCTGAAGGAGAACATGACGATGCCCCAACTATATACACCGTCTTCCTTCCTCTCCTTGAGGGCCAGTTCCGTGCTGTTCTACAGGGCAATGAAAAGAATGAACTAGAGATTTGCCTCGAGAGTGGTGAGTAGATCATGGCAATCAAAAAGCATATGCTGTAGGTGCACATTTACCTAAGGCGTATATTCCGTTAAACCAGACCCATCCCAGCTGTCAAATAAAGAAGACTAACCATCCAATGTGGTGGGGTGGAGCTGTTGTTAATGTGAACACAACCAAGCCGGAGAAATGAATCAATCTCCCTACCATTCAAATGAATCAAACTAATGGAGTTTATAGAACTTGGGAAAGAAAAAGTAGGACCAACCGAGTTCAATAGAACCGAAACGACCTTGTGTTTTTGTGGTGTGATTTGATTTGCAGGAGATAGTGCTGTTGAAACCAACCAAGGAAATTATCTTGTCTACATGCATGCTGGGACAAACCCCTTTGAAGTCATCAACCAGGCTGTAAAGTAAGTTTTCCCTCCTTTTAATGCAATCAAATGTTGCTTTCTTGCACGGAGGATTTTTTTGTTCCTTGGAAAATATGAAAACTAGTTATCAACAATTTGCTTTATTATCAATCAACTGTCACAAATTGCATAAAAGTTAATAAACCTTTTGCTTTGCACTGTTTATTCACTAGTTATACTTTATACTCTTGTTTGAGCCGAAGGATTTGCTTGTTTCTTGAAAAATCTAAAAACTAGTTATCAATAATTTGCTTTATTAAGTTATCAATCAACTAGTACAAATTGCTGAAAGTTAATAGACCTTTTGCTTTTCACTGTTTACTCACTAGCAATGCTTTATCATGAAACAGAGCCGTAGAAAAGCACATGCAAACTTTTCGTCATCGTGAGGAGAAAAAGGTGAGGAAGTCCCTACTTTGTTTGATTTTTATCACTTCGATTTATGGCAAACAATGGGATTTTCTTAATGGGTGACGTGATCTTTGTGGTGTTTGTTTGTAGTTGCCTTCTTTCATTGACTGGTTTGGCTGGTGTACATGGGATGCTTTTTACACTGATGTCACAGCTGAGGGTGTTGAAGAAGGCCTCAAAAGGTAAATTTGGAAGAAAGTACTAATTTAATTGGATTTCAAATACAAATGGCTGAGGTTGTACTAATCTTATAATTATTAAATTTTTTATTACTAAGGTATGCTGTAACTATTGTTGCAGCTTGGCTGATGGAGGTACTCCATCACGGTTCCTTATCATAGATGACGGTTGGCAACAAATTGGTGGTGAAGCAAAGGACACCAATTGTGTTGTACAAGAAGGGGCACAGTAAGATTCCTTTCACTTTCATGCAGTAACATTGTGGTGGACTGATGTGGTAGCAATACTGATAGCTAGAGATTCAGATAACTACCTAAATGTGAAAAAGATTACTGAGGGGTTCAAGAGGGGTGGGTTCGCAGGGGAAGGGATACCTAGAGAGGAAAGAAATAGTTTTTGATTATGTTTCATATAGCTAGTTAAATGAATATTTTTCTGATCAAATATAGAAAAAAGAGGCCTATTGAGAAAGGGCCTGAATTATTGCATTGGCAAGATAATAGTGCATCTAAGTCGGGTTCATTTGACAATTCAAGCTATGTAATTTCATCCAGGTGCTTTCCACGAGTAAAGGGGCATCAGTTAAGCTGTGGATGAGTCGAGCTAACTTGGTTGATATACTAAATGGGAGTTTTACTAGAGAGTTGGTCCTGACTGCAATGTCTATAATAGTAACATTTAGTGTTGGCTTGTATCGGCTGTTAAAAGGAAAATATTTGAAAGTTGCATGATGATAATAGGCTCAAACTGACACGCCAAAAAATAATAAGCTTACTACACCCAAGCTAACTTGTTGATTTGTCAAAATTGATCTTGCAGGTTTGCTAACAGATTGACGGGAATAAAAGAGAACGAGAAATTCCAAAAGAATGGAAAAAGCAATGACCAGGTCCCAGGCCTGAAAATTGTTGTCGATGAATCCAAGCAACACCACAATGTGAAGTAAGTGCTCGAATTATTACACATGTTTCATGCCGTCCATTTTTTTTTTTGACCAACAATTCTGCTAAAATTTTCTATTGATGTAATATTATAGTTTCCCAGCCCCAATTCAGAACAGGGTAGAATGTTAACTAGCATCTGCATTTGAGTAAAAATGTTTCCTATATATACTCCTAAATTTGTTTATTTTTTTTGACTTCCACAGGTATGTGTATGTATGGCATGCTCTAGCCGGCTACTGGGGTGGGGTAAAGCCAGCAGCTGCTGGTATGGAGCATTATGACACCGCTTTGGCTTACCCAGTTCAGTCACCAGGTGTACTAGGCAACCAACCAGACATAGTCATGGACAGTCTTGCAGTACACGGCCTTGGTTTAGTGCACCCTAAAAAGGTCTTCAACTTCTACAACGAACTTCATGCCTACCTAGCTTCATGTGGAGTAGACGGTGTCAAAGTCGACGTGCAGAACATTATTGAAACTCTTGGTGCTGGCCACGGTGGCAGAGTTTCTCTCACTCGTGCCTATCATCAGGCCCTTGAGGCCTCCATTACTCGGAACTTCCAAGACAATGGTTGCATTGCTTGCATGTGTCATAATACTGATGGGATCTATAGTGCCAAGCAGACTGCTATAGTAAGAGCTTCTGACGATTTCTACCCTCGTGACCCTGCTTCTCACACCATCCACATCTCATCAGTTGCGTACAACTCTGTTTTCCTAGGAGAATTTATGCAACCCGATTGGGACATGTTTCATGTAAGCATAGTTACCCCCATATAGTGAAATTTCACAACTTTTCTGCCTCGTATGGAGTAAAGACATTGAGACATTGATGAGTTGCTCTTTTCTTTGCAGAGTTTGCACCCCGCCGCAGATTATCATGCTGCAGCTCGTGCTGTTGGAGGATGCCCAATTTATGTCAGGTATTGTAATTCATTGACCTAGTTTGTTTCCTGTTATATCTTAAATCACACATGCAGCAATTATGACCTGATGAGATTTATCTATTCTGTTGCTGATTGGATAGTGATAAGCCTGGCAACCACAATTTTGAGCTTTTGAAGAAGCTTGTCCTTCCTGATGGATCAGTTCTTCGTGCCCAATTACCAGGCAGGCCAACCCGTGACTGTCTTTTTGTTGATCCGGCAAGAGATGGAATTAGGTTTGTGATTTCATATCCACCTTCTATTGTATTTGGAATATTTTGGGTTTGTTACCAAAACTGGACTTAAATGTAATTGTTTTACAGCTTGCTTAAAATTTGGAATGTGAACAAATGCACCGGCGTGGTTGGCGTCTTCAACTGCCAAGGTGCTGGTTGGTGCAAGGTTGCAAAAAAGACCCGTATCCACGATGAATCTCCCGGCACCCTCACAGGTTCTGTGCAAGCCACCGATGTTGATTCCCTCTCTCAAGTTGCAGAGCCAGATTGGAATGGGGAAACGGTGGTTTATGCCTACAAATCAGGTAATTTTGCTCAATAAATCGCTCAACTTTCAAATACATAGCACTTAGTTCAATTTTTAGGAATATTGTTTTTTATCAGAATTTTTAGGAATATGTAACTTTAAAATTCCACAAACAATTTATATTCTTGGTGATCTATTTTATTTGAAATCTAATGGAATTGGTAAGTAGGTTGTTGATGTAAGAAAAATGTAAAATTTCAGGAGAAGTAATTCGGTTACCAAAAGGTGCCTCTTTACCTGTGACGCTGAAAGTTCTAGAATATGAACTCTTCCACTTCTGCCCTCTGAAGGTGAGTCCAGTGTCTAAAATTTTGACATATTTTTACTATTGACATTCTTTACAAATATTCACTGAACATTAATAACTCCATGATCCGATAATCTATGTTGCAGGAAATCACAGGGAACGTTTCCTTCGCACCAATAGGCTTGCTCGACATGTTCAACACTGGCGGTGCTTTGGAAGAGTTTGAAGTTCAAAATGAAAACCAATCTCCATCTGCGACAATTTTACTCAAAGTGAGGGGATGTGGCCGGTTTGGTGCTTACTCTTCACAGCGCCCACTGAAATGCCAAGTGGGTGGTGTTGAGACCGACTTTGAGTATGAACCTGGAACCGGATTGTTGACTTTTATTGTTCCGGTTGCAGAAGAGGAGATGTATAGATGGGGGATTGAAATCCAAGTTTGAAGTGGTAGTTTGTTTGTAGGGTTAGGAGAGATAAAATAAACTAGTGGTAGTGTATTAAAATGTCACCATTGTCAAGGGGAGTTTGTGGGTGACTTGATTTGGGGCAATGCTTCTTGTATTGCAGAGAGGGGGAGTCTCTCATGGGGGAGTGAGTGAGTTTCTGTATTGTTTGTTTTTGTTGTTGTTGTTGTTGTTGTTGCATCTCTGTAATAAAAGCTTACCAACCTGATTGGTGGTTTCTTTAATGTAGTCTTGTGGTTTATGGCCTATTGCATTGTTAAATAGCTATTGAGTATGATTGTTTGCCCATTTCACAAATAATCATCAATGGGTGCAAAAACCCATTGAAATTTAAGGTTGGTAATGTGCAAAAACGTAGAAGGAATGGGTGGACATTTTGTATTGATTTTTTTGATTAATTTAGCATGTTCCCAAATATGACCTCACTTCTATTCTTCTAAATTGTGGAATCATGAGCTTTTAGAATCACGATTGGTTTTCAGTTTTCAACAATAAATTTTGAATTTTGTGTGTTTTCAATAAATATAAAAAAAAGGGCAAATTACATATACACCCCTCCAGGTTTGGTTAAATTACAGATACCCCCTGAGGTTTCGGAAATTACATCCCGCCCCCTGAGGTTTGTATTTTCATAACAATTTACCCCCTGAGGTTTATATTTCATAACAAATTACCCCCTAATTTCTTATGCAAATATAGCATTCAGGGGGGAATTCGTAATTTCTCAAACCTCAGGGGGGTATCTGTAATTTTGTCAAACCTGGAGGGGTGTATATGTAATTTGCCCAAAAAAAATATAAAAATGTATTAAATATATATATTTGTATGTATTGATTTAAAAAAAAAATATTCACAATTTTTTTACGTTTTGAGTATTTCCAAATTAAGGTCTAGTTAGTCAATAAATTAAAATAGATAAAAAATCACTATAAATTGTCCTAACGCTTTATTTTTAGAAAAATTAGTGAAATATTTTTCTCCAACTTTGTGTAGCAAGAGAAGTCCAAGATATATATATATTTATTAGCTAAGGTCTTCGATGAAATTTCTCTATGATCACACTAGGGAAATTTCGATATGTTGGACCAAAATTTCTCTGAGTTTGATGAAATTTTTCTGAGTCAAATTTTCTTTTGTTTGTTTTGCGAAGCTAGTTAAAAGTTAATTTTTTTGACTTTTTTTGATTTTTTTTACAAAAAAAAAACGTGTAAAAAAATAAAAAGATGATGTCACTTAAAATAAGTTAAAAATAAAAAATTGACTTTTAAGTTAAGTTATCAAATTAGGCCTCTGTGAAAATATTAAAAAATACTAACTACTATAAAAATATTGTATGTATTTTATATATCTTATAAAATCTTAATATCAAGAACTTAAAAAAAAAATTATTTTCTTTTGTATGTCTATTTGTAAAAAATTAAATAAAATAGTTAATTTCTAAATCAGCCCTAACTAAATTTAAAAAGTAAAAAAGAAAATATTAATAATATTAAAAAATTCACCAAAGAGCAAGCAACGTTGCTGTCAGTTTATCTCTAATAAAAAAATGACACGTGTCCCATAGAAAACGTCCCGCCTTTTTTCCTTGCTCTTTCTTGAACCTAGACAGGATCTGTTTTTGAAGAACTCCCATTGAAAATCTCTTCACATTCCTCTATCTCACACCCATACTGCTGTCAGGTTCTCTCTCTCTCTCTCTCTCTCTCTCTCTCTCTATATGTATATATATATATATATAATATACATTGATAGATTTACAAACCTCTGCTTTGTTTTGTGCATATGGAATGAATATGTGATTATTGAACACAAGCCCAAGAAATCTTTCATGGTAGGTCTCATTAGGGTTTGTTTCATCTAGAATCTTTGATCTTTCTGTGTGTGTATGTGCATGTATATGCATAAAATAAACAAATACATACATACCATACATGTAATACGAGTTTATTGAAGATTAGGGTTTTGTTTTCTTCATATTATGCAATATAGTTAATGCAAATAAGTGTTTCTTGAATATTATTATGTTTATATATGTACTTGAAACTCTGTCTCATGAAAAATGCGATAAGGGTTTGTTTGTCAAATTCTCTGTTTGAAAAGTTTGTATGGTGTTGATGGGTCTTTAAAGATTTGGGGATGTTGGGTTCTTGAATTTCGGATTTAAAGTTTTAGGGTTTGAGGAGTTGTATATGTGTTATGTATATGCGCAAATGCAAATCATAGTGAAGTCAGATCCTCTGTTTCTCGAACTGTTCATTACCGTTGTCGAACTTTTGTCCTTAAGATTTAAAATATATATATATATATATATATTTTAGGCTGTATTTGGATTATGGATTTTGGTGGATGTTTGGAAAGGAAAAGGCAAAGGGAAAAGGAAAAAGGTGGGTGAAATGTAACTATATGTCAATCATATTTCACCCACATTTTCACTTCCCTTTCCAAATCTCACTCAAATACGATCCAAACACTTAGCAGATGAGGAAAATGATGGCTATGTTTTCATTTTTGTTGCGATCTTTCAACTGTGTCTGGATCTTAAGTTTAGGAAAGCATTTGTGTAGAGAAAGAATAGTGAAGGGAAATGAGAATGAAATATAAGGCTCTGTTTGGTTGTGTCCCACTCAAATCAAACCTCTTTTCCAAAACTATTTTCAAAACTCTTTACCAAACAAATTTTCTACACTCAAATCATAATTCCACAACACACAAACTCAAAATACAACTCATACTCTCAAATCACATTTACAAAACTCTACCAAACACTACCTAAGTTTTTTTTTTTGGTTTTCTGTTCCTTCTATAAATCCCTTCCCAAATCCAAGATCCAACAGGGTTTCTTTCATATTATCAATGAGTTCTCTAGTTTTTGTTAAAGCCAGTCACTGCCCATTATATAAAATGGGTTTTTTTTACCAGTCTTGGAGTTATTCTATTGTTGGTTTTTTATCCTCTAACACAGAAATTGAGGTTAAAACATACTTTACAATGCTTTGTTCTATTCTTTGATCTTGCAGCATTGAGGCTTTATCTGGTTTCCACTGTGGGAATTGGCGTTACATTGAGTGCAGTGAAAGACAGTTCTGAAGAAATAGATTGACTGTTGTCTGAGAATAAGCTGAAATCCATGGCTAGGAAGAAAGTTGATGATAAGAAAAAATCTAACGATGTGGACTCGAAAAAGGATGATGAGGAGAAAAGTAGCAGTAGGGTTTTAAGATTGGGAAATGCCAGCAAAGGAAAGGGAAAGGCAGATGAGAAGGCCAAGGGGAAGAAACCAATGATGAGGACAGGGGGCATAGTAATCCACGATGTGTCTGAAGAGGGTGAAAATGCTGGTAAGAGAAAAGCTCGTGAGAAAGGAGACAGAATTGTAGGCACAAAGGAAAAAGGGAAGGGAAAACTTGTAGAAGAGGAGGGAAAGGCAAAGAAGGCCAAAATTCGGGTAACAAGAAGAACTGCTGACAAGGAAATTGGAGAGTCAAGCATGTCTTCAGCTAACAAAAGTCCATATAATCTACGGGCAAGAAAGGCGATTCCCTCTTTTCAGAGAGTCGGGTTGAGTGAAAATGGCTTTGTCCATGTTGTGGGGAAGAGAGTGAAGGTGTTCAAGTCTGAATTACGGAAATGGATTACAGGGCAAATCAAATCATATAATCAGAAAAAGAAGCTTCACAAGGTTTTGTATGATGATGGTGAATCAGAGGAAGTGGATCTGCAGACGCAACGTTTTGAGGTTGAACTTATGCCTGGTGAAGCCTCGACTTTATGTTTGAAACATAAGCCCGAGTGAGTTTGCTTTTCTGACAAAACAATCAATTGTTTGTGTAGAAAAAATTATTATGCTCAATGAACTTGCTAATTGTGCAGGAAGTGAAGTGCATTAATGCCACGATGCAAGCTGTTCACAAATAGGTATTATGCTCAATACTATGCATGAAATTCTTTCTGATATACTTTAACAGGTTGAACTTCTTGTCTATTTAGGTTGTATATTTAGTAGTTACTTCCAAATCACATCATCATTACAGTGGTAATGTTTTTTTTCCAATCTGCTATCCGCATTTGTTCGAGTCTCTCACTTCGTCTCCAGTCTCCACTAGCTTGTTCCAAACCTGATCACAAATTATCTTCCAAGCTCCCAAGCTCAATCAATGATCATGCAAACCCTGAGTCTATATGTAGACCTTTCTTGCAAAGTAGGAAAGAATTTTGGACTTTCAACAAAGGAAAACTATAGCTCTCTCATTGCAATGGGTAACCTAAACAATGAAGTATATATGTCTCATTATACAGTGATTAACCAGATCTTAAAATTGAACGAGGAGTTAATGCCCTAAAAAGTTTGCTACATACATGCAAATCTATGCACGTCTAATTGAGTTTTTGACATTGACTACTTGTTTTTGGCTTGTTGAATTGAATTCCCAGCTTGCTGTTTTTTGTTTTTTTGTTTTTTTTCGCAGGTGATTGTTGTACATTGGAGAAACATTTGAAATGTGCATGCTGTTATTCACCAATTTTTGGTATGTAATACTTGGAATTCACTAATTTTTGGGATGTAATACTTTGGTATAGTTTCACTAAGTACTGCGGGGGTCTTAATCCAGCAGTAGATACTAGATATAACTTTGATGTCTTCCTAGTCCGGCAGTAGATACTAGATATAATTTTGATGTTTTCCTTTGACTTGACTCAGTTTTAACTGTAACTGTCTTTTTTGCATTCATTTCCAAAAACAAAAGGATGTAATATGCTTCATTTGTCAGGTTAAATAGAAAATGAAACTACCATATTGCTTGAGCCATGTCTATGATGCAGGAACTTGAATCAATGAATGTGTTCTCTTGTCTTTTTCTTTTATTTTATTTTATTTTTGGCAACCAAACAGGAAGGTTTTGTTGCAGTGGTCATTATTGCTTTTCTTGGATTTCTAATTCTTGGCATAGATTTGAGTTTAAAACATTGAAATGGATGTCAGACCAAACTCAGGGTTAGGGTTTGCTATTTGAGATGACATTCTCTCAAATCTCACAAAATAAGTGTGGTTTGGGCCCGTGGGCCTATAACCAGTTTCTGGTGATTTGAGTCATTTATTTTTTAGTTTATCTCCATAGATCATTCATAAATTTAAAAAAAAAAAATCAGATGAGTATGCTTGGTGCTTCTATATGCCTTACCAATTTTTCAGACTAAAATCTGGTTAATTAAATGGCTTTGAAGCAGAAATTGAGTTGGATGGGACCTTAGATTATGTTTGTATAACGAATTTGGGAGGAATTCAAAAAGTAAGATTCATGATCCAAATGTAATGGGCTTTGGCTATGAGATCTGGAAATTGAAAAGTAAAGCACAAAGAACAGTGTGCTTTTGGGCCTACATTTTATAATCCTCATTCAATATGACAAGTGAAGCAAAAAGGCCTATGTGATTTGAATAACATTCTCTTGTTACCAGTGTTTTACAATATATATATATATATATATATAATGATGTCGTAGCTTGAGTCTTATCACTTGAGTTCCATTAATATGATTTATACATAAAATTTTGTATTTATATATCACTCTTATTTTTTCACATATTGTCATTGAGGTCAAAATATTCTTTTTAAGCACTTTTTAAATATATATATTTTAGTAGATGATCTTTCTACATGTGGGGGGAGTTAGGTTTTTGGGGTATGTATTGAAATATGCACGAGATCAGCTTGATTTGGGGGCATCATCAATTCATACAATCTAGTCACACATTGGTAAAGGGTTTACGTGCTTATGAATTATCAAAAAAATGATGATTTTTTAGTCAAACATTTTAACGGTTCTATACATTTTAACGGTTATATATATATATATATATATATTAGAGTACCTTTTATGAGTTTCTTACCTTACCTAATTGCTAACATAAGATTAGGCATATATTTTGCTTGCTCAATACTCTCTAATTAATAGTTCCATCTCACTGTTCAGTTTTAATAATTCGAATCATTAATTTTTTAAGACTTTTTATATATATTATTTAAAAAAAAAATGATAGTTTATTTTAGAAAATATACTTTTTTTTAAACAAATGTGATAAATTAAAAAATATTACAATTAACAGATTTACTTAATTTTTTTTTAATTATAAATAATATACAGTTAATGTCTTACAAAACGAACGATTCAAATTATTGAAATAGAAAATCACAAATGTGACTTGAATTGGTAGCCTCAACCAAAGACTTTTGGCACCTCCACATGTAACATGACCCTCTTTAAGGTGGCCCATACATCACCACAGTGTATTCTCTAATTTCGTGTTGCATCAGAGTTTGAAACTAAGTACCCAAATTGTATGAACCAAAACCCCACATCATCTTCCTTTCTTTGCCAAGGAGATTTGGTTGCTTATTCTCAATTCAATTCAATTCTGCTATGAACAGAAATCAAATGTATAATGGAATACATAATATATATATATTTGATTTTCAATTTCGTGATTGATATATATGTTTCTAGACTTATTTTTCTCAATTTTAAATATCTGTAATCACTTACAAATTATGTATCCAGTAGAATAATATATTACCAGTAATAGTTAAACTCAAGAGTTTCAAAATTTTATATATATATATATATATATATATATATTTATATTTATTATTAGAAGCCTCAATTGTCCAAAGGCTTAGTCCCAAGATCTCATTTTTATGTTTAACTTGACGTCTCGAAAATTTTAGACCCTTATCCCAAGCCTCCCTTACACCATATTATTATCTTGGGCAAGTAATTAGTCTCCGACTTGTCTTAAATGCAACAATTAAGATGGAGAGATAAAAATGATATATCATATCTTATCCATTAATCAATTACTTTTTCATATCATATCATATCATATCATATCTTACAATAAATAGTTAATAAAGACAAAAAAAAAATGAAAAAAGAAGAAGAAGATAAAATGTCATATCTTATCCATTAATCAATTACTTTTCTCTCAAAACTATGTATTCAATTAAAAAATAATAATAATAATAATAATAAAAATAAAAAATCACAAATCATCCAGAATATATATATTTTTTCATATCATAAAATAGTTAAAAAAATCAACTAAAATAGCTAAATTTCCAAACGAGGCCTAGATAATAAAATCCATCATTTTGAAAAATAATAAAGACTTTATATTTTATGGTTAATAAAAAATACCACACACTATATTGTCACATAATATTCTACCAGCTGATAAATTTTCTCATAAAACTCTAAAAACTATTTAGAGACTTAAGCACCAACAATGGAAATACTTTACGAAAATTATGATGAAAATCATGCCTTCCTAATGAGTTTTTAATAACAATGTATAAATTAATTGACATATCATTGATATATCAATTAGTATATTAATAAATGATATGACATAATTTTAAAAATTTATAATTTATATAATAGACAAAATTAATAATAATATCATAATTTAATATATATAACACTACTATTTTTACAATTATTCATTTACTTTTATAAAACCTGGGCTTTTTGCTTGAGCACCAATGTATCTACCCATTCATTCCTAGGTAGCTACTACCCTTTAGACTTAAAAAAAAAAAGAAAAAAAAAAAAAAAAAAAATCAGTGTGATGTAAGCATGAAGTGAGTCAACCACGTGGCTTTTTTGATGAGGGTGGTAAATCACCAAGTAACAAGTGTCATGTTGTAGGCAGCCCTACACAAAACAAGTATGTTTGTATCATACGCAAATATGCTCCACTTAACACACGCACGGGCACATGGTTAATTTCAGTCTGTTTGAGGGTTGAATCCATCCTAGCTCATAAAAGTTGATTTATGATTTTATATAAAAATTTATAACTCAAGTCTACCCATAAACTCGATTCGTAAAAATTCGGATGCATAAGTCTATTATTTAGTTTGATTTTTTTTATTTTCATGTTTAAAGTTTTTATTTTTTTTTTCTTTCTATTTTTCCCTTCCACTGGTAGATATTATATGCTACTTGATTGTTTTTTTGATTATATATGAGATGTAAAAAGGTGTAAAAAAAAAAATCAAAATACTTCAATTATGTTTAGAAAGTAAACAAGAAAAATAATTAATGATAAGTGTAATGAAAAATATATAATTTGGTTCGGTTTGATTTTAACTTGTAAGATTTGGATTTATGAATGACATGCGATTTTAATTTTTTTAAATAGGCCCAACTCATACTAATTCACTGACTGGTTAAAATTCAAAAAATTCATTAAAATATGAGATTTGAATACAATAATTGTGGACTAGGTAGGTCTAACCCGTCCCATTGATGACCTTTATGAAAAATAATAGAAATTCAAAATTTATTGTTAAGTTATACATTAAAAAAAAACATTATTTATAAAATTACATTCATGAATCATATATATTTTAAAGGTGACTTAAATAATTTTATACCTAACGTTATTTCTTTATTCTATGACGATGGATCCAATTTAATTTCCACCTCTTACAATCATATAACCTTTGAAAAGTGCAAAATTTCCTGACATGGATAGAAAATCAAAGATATTTTGTGTGAAAAAAAAATGGTATGTAAATAAAATTTATAAAAATGCTTTGGAGCTCTAAAGTCAGTTCTGATGAGCTGGTAGTGAGTCCCACCCACTATGATGTGATTTTTTTTTTTTCTTATCATGTCACTAGTGCTCTTTATTTTAAAACACTAAAATTAGTGTTCTGAATCATTGCTGTAAAATTTATACACAAAAATTTCATCCAAAATAATATGTAGTCTATTTTTACGCAGATAACTAAGATTGTATTATCATTTGCATACCATTCATATGACAAATTCTCTAAAATTAGAGCATTTTTTTATTTCTATTTATACAGATATTTATGTATAAAAATGTCAAACAAAATTACTATTTATATAGCAGCATTATGTGACATCGAATTGGTCTTCTATGTGACATCCTCGTACACACTTATGTTAATTGTACTGAAATTGAGCACAAAAGATTATTACGTGGTCCAAATTTAATCATGTATTATGAGGTTTAGAATTAATCATGTATTGTTGGGTTCATATGTAAAATAAATTCAGATTACACAATAATATTTTTGGTATATTTCTGTGGACAAATTCTGTATATCTAACATTGTTGATTTCATAACAGGACATTTGGCTTAGTAGTTATTGTATAGCACCACTTTAATATTGTTTAGTACATCTTAGTATAAGTTAAAAATTAATAATTCAAAAGCCTAAATCAAAAACATCCCTCACCCACCTTCCACAGTTTTTTTCCAACTTCTTTAAGTGATTTTTGTCTAATATATAAACAGAAACTATACAAACTCTTAAAATAAAAAAATTACAAGTATCTCAGATAAGTTGCACCAAATAATTCATTTTATAGCGTTTATTTTTGTGCAATTGTAAGTTAATTATTTATTTGTTTTCAAGTTTCAACTTAGTGACTTTTTGACTTTTTAATATAATATTTTTTTATATTTGTAATTACAAAATAAAAAAATTCTAGATTTCTTAATAGAAAGGTTATGTTTGGCATGATGGTTTGGGTTGGATTGTGACTATTTTAGTCACAAAAAGACAAAATAAGTTTCTTAACTCAATAAGATAAAATATTACATTCAAGTATAATTATTTTATTTTTTCTTTTATAAAAGTCAAAAATACCAAAAAACTTATTCAAATGAGATTTTTTAATTCCAAATTAAAATTGTTAAAAAATCAAAAAATCAACCGGTATCCTAAACGAAGACTATGAATACATTTGCAAATAATACCACGTGGAGAAATT